GGTGCAATTTGTATAAGGAATCAATCTTAAACAATTAAAATATGGTGCACCTCTAAATCTTATTAAAGGATGCAGTTTGGGTGTCAAAAATACATACGATAGCCGAAAAATCTATTTTCAACCTAATTATAAAATTAAAAGCTCTAAAAAGAGTATAGATCAAGAAGAGCTATAGACATTTAAATTTTTTGAGAATAGATGGACTAGATAATGTATTGGAAGGTGTATTACTTTTAGAACTTGAGATTGCTTTCTTACTCATATTCATCCATCTCAAGGTCGAGATGATGTTGTAGGGTTTTTCAAGGGAAAATTACAAATAACCCCTAAGGTTAGACATTTTATACAAGTTACTCCAACCAAACTTTTTTTCATACTTTTTTCCCCATAATACACTTCTATAGCAAATATCCCCAAATCAAAAAGTTTATTTTTTTGGAGGAAAATGCCCTTCCTGTATACAAGAAATCATTTTGGCCAGATGACGTTGACTATCATACCCAAGTAGCAATTGTTGGATCGCACCATTGAATTGTCGGACCCTTGCATTTATGTCGGACCGAACTTTGAATTGCTGGACCCTTTATTCCAAAAAAATGACTGTCGGACCGCACTTTTCAACTGCCGGACCCCTTTTTGTTCTATTAATTTTTACTGTTGGACCACCACTGTTATTTACCGAACCGACATTACACTGCCAGACCGCCCTAAAAATATGCCGGACCACCTTTTCATGGGAAAGAAGTGAGAGAGTCATGGGTAAAAGTAAAGGAGAGTAGTTTAGACTTTTTTTATTTTTTATTAGGTTGGGAGGGTATTTGGTAGAAAAGTGTATCTTGGAGAAAAAAGTGAAGAAAAAAAAAAAAAAGGTTGGGTAACTGCATAGAAGGTCTAGTCTTGAGGTTATTTGTAATTTGCCCATTTTTCAAAATCAAGAAGGTCTAGTCTTGAGGTTATTTGTAATTTGCCCATTTTTCAAAATCAAAATAATATTTTTGGGTGGATTTTTGAGGTGCACTTTATTTCTACAATATAAAGTTGACATTTTATATAATCTTTTTTTCTCGCTTTAAATGATGGTCAATTTGTAAATAAATTCCAAATACAATTGCATATTTCTAATCATAAACCAACTAAAACTCCCTTGTGCCTAAAGAAAAAAGTCAATAACATCTAGCAAAAGAAAACCAATAACAAGGACAACCAATACTTAACTTGATCCAGTATCCACCCAACATGAGAGAGAAAAGGAACATAGGGGTCTGAAGAACAGCAAATTAAGGCACTATAACCATGAGGGTATTGCCTGTAATAAGAAAGCAAACGGGGTTAGGGCTAATACCTGAGCATCCCCACACTCTTTGCTCCTGCAACCTCTATAAAACCCCAAAGTTTTGTCCATTTGGAGATACAAGCATGGATAGTTCCAGCTTTCTTAGGTTCTAACATACCACCATATGCTCTTCTTAGAACTTTAGGGACTTTATTGGGACCCTTCTTAGAACCTTAGAGATTTGATGCTTTTTATTGGGGAATATTATGGAATCCCCCAAGTAGCATTCTCCCCAAAAAATACCCTGGGTGGAAAAGTCTCATGTACTCATGATCGAAAAACACAGTTTCTTTTTTTTCCCTTTCCCCCAAATGCACTTTGCAATATTATATAAGACAAAAATACTCTTATTAAATAAAAATTAAAAAATTAATTTAAAAGCAAAGAAAATCTCGCTCTCTAGACAAATGGAGGAAAAACATTGTGCTACCTATTTAGAAGAACAAATGAAGCATATAGAATTTTACGAACTATCGAGGTATTAAACTTCTGAACCACACTACGAAAGAGAGTGGTTAAGCAGCGACTAAGATGTGAAACGAGTGTATTAAAAAATCAGTTCATTCCATCCAAGTAGGTCAACTATCGAAGTTATTTTTCTACTTAGACAACTATTTGAAAGGTTTAAGACAAAGGGAAAAGACTTCCACATGGTATTTATTAATTTAAAGAAAGCATACGATAGGGTACCTAAATATTTAATTTAATAGGTGTTGAAAAAAGAGGTCGCCAGAGGTTATATTAACATAGTACGAGATATGTATGTGGGAGCGAGTGCTAACTAGTGTATGGATAACTGATGGAGAGACAAATGAGTGACATTGTACATCATGGGTCCGCGTTGAGCTCATATCTCTTTGTTTTGGTTATAGACCAGTTAAACAAAACACCTACAAGACGAGGTACTTTGGTGTATATTATTCACGGATGACATAGTTTTGATCAATGAGACTCGAAGCGACGTTAATACAAAGTTAGAATGTTGGAGGGATGCTATAAAATCTAAAGATTTTAAAGTTAGTTGAATCAAGACTCAAAATACGAAATGCAAATTTAGTAATGATAAGAGTAGAAACGAGGAAGTAGTTAAGATCGATGATTAAGAAATACTTAAAAGCTATTGTTTCCAATATCTAGGGTTGATAATCCAAGAGAATTGAGAGACTAAGAAAAAGGTTACACATAGAATTAGAGTTGAATGAGCAAAGTAAAGATGTACATCTGAAGTTTTATGTGATTGTCACATACCATTGAAACTGAAGGGAAAGTTCTATAGGACAAATATAAGACCAGCTATACTTTATGGGACAGAATGTTGGGTAGTAAAGAACAACATATCTATGAGAACAACATATCTATGAGATGAGCATAGCTAAAATGAGATATTGGGATGGATGATTGACAAGACCAAAAAAGATAGAATTCGAAATAAATACATACAAAGGAACTTAAGTGTGGCTTCAATAGGCAATAATATACTGAAGTGGGGTGTAGACCTAATACAACACCATATAGGATGTACAATTTGGTTCAAGTGGAGGGCTCTAAAAGAACAAGGAGAGCCTAAATGAACATGGATAAAAGTATTGAAATAAGATATAATGATTTTTGGTCTTACTAAAAGTAAAAATACTTGATATAGAAAATTAGAGAAACATGATTCATGTAGCCAAACCCAAATAATTGGACATCAAATGCACATCTTTACTTTGCTCATTGAACACTAATTCTATATCCCTTCAGTTTTATATGATTGTCACATACTAGGGAGATTGAGAAAGAGAGATATTTGTGAGATAGAGATTTGCCTTGTTTTTGGATTTTCTAATATTCATTTAATAAAGGCATTTTCATTATAAATTGTACCAAAAAATGCACTTACAGGAAAACCGAATTGTTTTGGAGTAATGAGTGTGGAAGACTTTTTAACCGGAGGTATTTAAAGGAGAACATTATAAAGAAAAGTATATAATAAGACCATTTATCTTTGATACAAGATGCTCATAATTAATCTTGACCACTCGATATAAAATTGAATGGCTCCATGTATTTCATTGACCAAGCTCAAAGTTTAAAAGAAATTTTCTCAAGCTTTATGAAACACCCAAGCTCTCAGATTTCACATCAGATGGTTATAAGTAATTACAACTTCCTTGTGTCAAAGGTAAATTATCTCATTATATACAATCTCATATTATAATGAGGATAATCCACAATTTTCCCTTCTTTTTTTTTTTTTCCATGAAACTTAGAATTTTTTTTTTTCCATGAAACAGAATGGGACTACTGATGTGAACCAGTGTGTAAAATGTTTTGTTTGGTGCAACTCTTTAATAAGGTGCCAACGAGTTTTTGGAAAATTTATTCAAAGAAAGATTAGATTTTATTTGTTGAACAGAGCTAATGTAAGTTAAAGAAGGAAAAGAGAGAGGTCCTTGAAATTACCTTTTAAGACCTTTTAAGAATGTTTTGTTTTGGAAGAATTTGTAGTGACTATGGCATAGAAATAAAGAGAGACTGCTAGAATCCTAGGGATGGATGTAAACATGGAGTGGGAGAGGGATGGCTGAATATATAAAAGAGTTAGGATGTTGGTTTTGGTGGAACTTTTCAGCAGTGGGAGACCCAAGTTCTACCAAATGGACTTCCACATTTGTTGCACCCTTGTGGAAGCCACAAGATGGACTGGCAGCTTCCTCGCTTCCTTAAAAAATATTTTTTAATAATATTTTTTAAGAAGCCACCCCACACATACGACCCCAAAATGCAAAATAACTTGATGCAAGGTTGCAAGGAATCTTAGAAGTGGCCATAATATCTTGACAAAAATGCAAATTTCAATTGCAACACAAGGGTAAAATTTTGAACACGTTCTAGCAGTGGTTTTTCATGATCGTCAATGTCCAACAAATTCATTATTATCATGAGTTTCTTTTCAACTAATTAAGATTTTTTTTTCACCTAATTAAGATCGGCTACATGAATTTTGATCCACCATTTTACTCTATCAAGAGTCATCTCTTAAGTGAAACCATAAGCTTTTTTATATTTTTTCACTACTTTCAACCATGCTTTTTTAGACCTATTCTTTCTTTTTTTAAGCCTATCCTTGTTCCTTTTTTTGCCTTCCACTTGAACTAGCTCGTACCTCCTAATAGATGTTATAATGGGTTTGTGCCACCCATGGCCAGCCCACCCAAATCTACTTTTTGTCATCTTATCGTCTATTGATGCCACGCCTAAATTCTCCCACATGTATTAATTATGCATTCTATCCCTTCTTGTTTTGCTACTCATCCATTTCTACATCCTCATCTCAACTAAGTTCGTATGTTGTTTCTTGACCGCTCAACAAATACATTTTCAAAGATTTAACATTTAACCATTCCTTCGTTAGAAGTTATTTTAAACATGCAAATTTGTGCAAGGAAGGTGTCGGTCTTACGGAATGAATTTCTATCCAAAAAGTCCTCAATTTGATTGTGTTCTCATCATCTGTCTGATTGGGTTCACATCAAAAATTTATATATCTGAACATATCCATGACCGTATCGCATCTTTCCAAGCATCTTTCCAAGTGAGCTTGGAAACCTGCCTTCGATATGGTGCCGAATGCTGCAATTTATCAAATGTGCCATTAAGATATGTGCACTTTCTAGGCATAATCTAAGGAAACAAAATGAAGATTCCAGTAACTTGTGAAAAATTCAGGAGCACAATGTCTAATTGCGGAAAATGTGGAAATATATATTTCTTTCCAACAAAGGAACCGAACATTTCTTAGTAACTCCCCAGATTGATAGGCTTGAATGAGGCATCCCATCTACTAAGAATTGGTCCCTGAGAATACATAAATATATACAGTATATAAATATATATATATACTTTCCCGATTGCAGAAAAATAGAGCATCTCTTCTATGCATTTTGCTAGGGCAAGCTGGCAGCGCCGTATTCTCAATCTAAGGAGGATACAATTCCCATAGTGCAACAGTAGTGTCTTCAGATGAAGATGCCAACAGCTTACAATCAGTTGAAAATGACACCGCGTTACACTGCAAAAATAACATCTAGTAAGGGCCAAACAGTTTCTTGCAGATCAACGTGTTGATGTGTGTGCACACTAAGGATAACATGAAAATATACATATTTGCCTTTTTTTTCTAATAGAGATCAAAATCATTTAAATGATTATCTTATCACCCTCAAATCATTCAATAAACTATTTGCAATACCAGAGGCAGCCAACCCTTTAATGCAACTCTGTTGTAACATAAGACCAGATGTTTATCAACAACAAATACAATAGTTTTATTCCTAAAATACAATGATAAAAATATTGCCTCTCCATATCTCAGAACCATCACATGGTCTGATGAACATCTCCCAATGCGCAGCAACTTCTCACATGATCTTTGACTTCTCTAACAGAGAGAGAGAGAGAGAGAGAGAGAGATTCCTAGTGAAATGGGAGAAGTTTCTATAAAGTATCTCTTACAGAACCAATAATATATTTGGCTATTTGCCACTCCTGAAGCATGCATCTAATGGTAAGAAAAGGTATTTGGCCCTCTGATCAGCATTTCCACAGGTGAAACACATCCACTTGGTTGGTGGCTGGTCCTAAACCTTTACCTTGTATTGTCTAGCAAAAATATGCACCCATTTAATAGAAGATTATACATATAAAACATGTACTTATGCCACAGACGTGTTTTGTGTGCACAAAAAGAAAATCTGATTGATAATGTTTTTCTTTTTAATAAATATGTATAAGACCAGTGGGTAAACGGAAAAAAAAAAAGAAGAATTTCAACAGGAATGGCAATAACAAACTTAAGGGGTCAACTGAAGCAACCAAATCTTGGAAAGAAAATTCCTACTGTGTTGGATAATGAACATGAGAAAACACTCAGATTAATCACTCACGTGAAAGCAGTAATATAATAATATATCAGAGCACAGGACTTCAATAATTCTGCTGAATAATTATCCTAAAACAATTTCAAAGTCATCCTAGGGACATACCGTAGCACTGTGATATTTCAAGATTGCTAGAGCCTTCCCATTCCGGTAATTATAGATCCGCACCCTGTTCGCAAAAATCAGATTGTCTAGTATTTTGAGATGTCAAATTTGTTATGGGATGATGTACATGCAAATATCCTATGAGATTCTAATATGGAAGTTAAAGATAATGCAGTAACCAGTCACTGACTTTAGCTAACTAAGCAATAACGTCACCCAGTAACTGAAATCTCAATTGAATTCAAATTTCAATCGATTGAATAATCTGAACAGAGCTGCTGAGCTACATCATGCGCAACCATACAGTGTGTGTGGGTATATATAGGCATGTATTTCACATCTAAATAAGCCAGTTTAGCTTCCCAAGTGTACACCTATTAATTGCATAAAGAGTGTAAGTTTTTACATTCACATGCACACACAAACAAAAGTTGACCCCACGCATTTAATACCAAATTATGGCGAAGCATATCCATTTCCTTGTAGTTTAAAGCATAGTATTCACAAATGCATGATGTTTGTGAACTAAATAGTTCTCCATTGTTATAAATTGTGACAATTTAAGAGATGGGACATCTGTAGATGAAATTTTGAACAAAGATTTAATGACAGATCAATGGATTGTATTCTGTAGACTAAACTTTCCCCAAACCTTAAGCCGTACCTATACCTAGGCCTCACTATGAGTTTGATTAGTGATACAGAATACTGGAGTTTGATAATTCTAAGTAAAGATGTAAGCTGAACATTGTATTGCTATGTAAACTCATACTTTTTTGAGAAAATGAGAGGAAAAAGATTAGAAAATAGACTACCAACCTATGATCCCAACCAGCAGTTGCAGCAATTTTGTTGTTGGCTCGAATTGAGCAGCTTGCAATGCCAGGTTGCCCAAGGCTTATCTCTTTCCTATTCAGACAGGTACCCTGTAACAAAGACGATTTGAACAAGATGTAATATATATCGAGTTAACAAAAGAATGGAAGAGCTAGACACTTAAAAACACTTGGTGTACTTGCACATTCCCCTACCATATGATGATCCAGAGAGAAAAGCATTATTTTGTTGTCAGCAGCTCCAGAAATTCCACCAGTACAGGCTCCATCCAGGGCTAGACTTAACACTGAATATGTGAGATCATTAGAAGTTGCCAAGTTGCCGAGGAAAATAAGAAATTCTTCAAAAATAGATAGGGTCATCATTGATGCTAAAGAGATATTTTCAGTAGTTAAATAGCTAACCTGGCTCCGAGTGAAACTTCACCGAACATACTGGGACCTCTGGGCTCCGTAAATCCCATAACGCAATACTCCCATCTTCATAACTGCAGCGTCAGAAACAGTACTCAAAGAATAATCCATGGCCAAAATAACTAAGGAGCACTGGAGCAGAATTCTTGATATCAACAACATACTTTTCTTGTTTTAAACACCATCAACCATAAATTTCCTCAAAAAAAAAGAAAAAATACCCACAAATTCACACTAAATATAGGCTGCTTTTAATTGGTTATATAAATTACAGGAACATGATCCAATAATACAACTTCTTCAAGTACATAGAAATAATCCTTCAGATATCAGATATCTGCAAGGTTTTATCAACAAGTCCTACCAATTCAAGATAACAAGGGTAAGAAAAGGAACAAGTGCAAGTGCTTAGAAGTACATATTGAAGAACTAGAATCGGTAAATAGAAATTAAAAAACCTGATATTATCTTACAGGGTTTAGAAAGTGCTGGTTCAACTAGAACGGGTGGAGTCAAACCATAGTTAAACTTCTCCAATACAAAACAAAAAACAAAATGAGGATTCAAACGACACCCAAAGGGCACTGGGTCGGGTCTTGGGCGGAATCGGGCAAGTCACCCAGTACCCCTCCTTCAAGGTAAAAAGATTTCGTAAAATTGCTTTTTTTAGCCTCATTTTAGAAGTTTCTCCTTTGGTTATATAAATCTGAGTTCTCCTTTGGTTATATAAATCTGAGGCTACAATCAGCCCTGTTTTGACTGATTGTAGCACCAAGTGACTTCTATTAGCCCCTAGCAAAGGATTTTTTTTTTTTTTTATTTTGACTATGGGTTGATTTTCTGGATGAAAAATCATTATTTGTTTTAACCAAAAACCCTAATCTGACATTTTACAAAGTCCTCTCTAAATTGTCAACTAAATGCTTTGAAATATATATCAATTTGTTTGTCTTTGAGTTCTCTATCGAACTGCTATGGCAATTTGTTTCATAGAAATGCAAAATAAAAGAAATTAAGAGCCCAAGTTTTCGACATTTTTTGAATCCGAAATAAAAAATCTTTGATTTCTCTTTCATTTTTCATCCAATGCATTCAAATTTGTTTCAAAATGTTCCTAACACATTTATCCACAAAAGGCCAAAGAAGGTTTTTAAATCAAAACCAAAAATATGAAACAAAAAAATGATTTTTGTTATTCTTCGCCTTTTTTTCCACCATTTCTCTTTTCAAAGGTCATTTTGATTTGATTTTTTTTATTTTAACTTTGATTTATACATCCTATAATATGAACCCATTTTTCTTATTTTGTTTGGCCTTCTTTTCTCTTTCCCTTGTTTCTTTTTAAAATTTTAACCAAGTCGACTGGTCCGACTCGCCAAGTCGACTCAGCCAACCTCGACCCAGCTGGCACCGGGTTTGGATATCTGAGTTGGGTTTTTAAACACTGTTATCTTATTAAACTATGTAAAACTGGAACTACTGGAAGCAACTAATGCAATGATCTCATCCATCACATCACTTGCCTAACCTATATGACATGTAATCAAATGCACTCAAAACAACTGCACTAGCAACAGTTCACTGCTTCAACAAAAAACAAAAAAAAAACAACTGCACTAGCGCTCAGGAGCAAAATTACTGAAACACTGAATATTATGCAATACCCACACCACTCCTAGTGATAATCATTTCCCTCCTGTACATCATGTGCAGGAATTTGCGTAGAAGTTTTATGTTTCAATATTCCCCCTTAGGCCAACAAAGTGACCAAAAACATCTCCCCTTGAGAACCACTGGCCACTCTTGAATAAGCCCTTCATGAGATCTGTATGCTGAGGATATAGTCAGGTGAAGGAATGATTGCACTAAAGAAAGTCTCTTCAGGGTAAAGTTAGAAACCCTAAGGTCTCCCACTTCCATCATGCAGGACAGAACGTTGACCTCAATGTCCTAATCAAAACTAAAAAAGAACACAATGGCATATAAGTTCAGCATTAGTAGTCTGTGGTATGGAGCTCTTTCGGCCAACCCCTTTATTACAGGTTGAAATGCCCCACTTCCAAATCACATGAAAATAAAAGAGTTAATTTCCAACCATTAGATTTCCTGTTCCGTGTGGTCTTTGGCTTGCCATGAGGCCTAGCCTCCTTCCAAAAAAGTAAGTGATTTAAACCAAGATCCAATAATCTCCAGTTTTGATTAAATCTCCACCTGATGAAAGAAAATTTCCATGAAGATTTGCACTTGGTTATTTCTTCAACCCATTAGAACTTTGGAGTCATACACAATGCCTTATTCGTTGTACTCTGTGAAGTGTGAACTTATATTTCACAAATTAGATTCAATTCCCCGATGGTTCGGAGAATTCATCAATCATTACTCGTAGAAAAACATCCAGCACTCATTTGGACCCATGTTCCTCTTTCCTCAGCAAAACTGTGTGCTCAGCATGATTTTCATACAACTAGGTAGAATCCATTTATCCTATGGATTCTATGATAAATTAGAAGTCAATACCCATATTCATCGAAAACCAATCGTTATTATGCAATCTTCAGTTACAATTACTGAATATTTTGGCTTTTCTTGGTTCCAAAATCAGAATAACCTGTCCTGAGACCCAATTATTTCAAAGAAAATCCAATTACCATTCAATGAAGTTGCATATTTCTGACTTATAGAACACACTTGATACATAATGGCAATTCCAAAACATCAAAGGAGCTTCTTTCCATATATTTCAAAAAGCAAGACATACAACAATCAATTCATATGAATTATTTTTTATAAGGAAACGGTGTATATAAGGTGTCAACCTTATACTAGAGGAAAAAGGTTGTTCCGACGCTTGAAGATCCTCTAATTGATGATCTCCAATACAAGATGTATAGATATAAAAAAAAAAAAAGGATCCCAACACCTAGAAATAGTGCATCTTGTAACACACAATCCAGACCGTTCATTTTCAAAAATTTCAAGTGTCTTTAGATCTGCTCGTTCTGCAAATAATTTTTTGAGCTTTAAATTTTACAATTATGGCAAAAATAATTTTCAGGCCATCACAAGAGTTTCCGGCACCGAAACTGCATCTTTTGGCAGTGTTTGGAGGTGTGTCGTATTGATTATTTAAGGTTGGCACCATATACAAACCGCACCCCTTTTATAATTGTAAATACTGTTATGAAAACAAGGCGAAGAAGCAAAAGTTGCTACATTTTTCTAGAAAGATACTGCAGAAAATTGATATTCTTCTAAGGACATAGCACAAACCCGGCCAAAACATTCAGATAACCTTGTGCTTGACTGAGGTAAAATGCCTGAACAGCCATACACATTCCTGCCACAAAAATGAAAGCCATTTTATTAATCTATTTCATTCAAGTAAAATCATTTGATGAACTTTTTTTTTAAGTAAGAAAAAAAAAAGAAAAATTAAAAATCTAGTTCAAAGATGTCATCACATCTATGAAGTTATGGTATAGAAAAATATTAAGACAAGCGAAAATACAGAAATTTCTCCCGGGTCTTGTATAGGGCACGCTGTATTAGGGATTGCCTTAATTTTGTACTTTCTCTCTCTTGTATTATTATTAATACAAAAGTCAACTTTCTCAAACAAAACATACAAAATTTCTGGGTCTAGAGAAACTCCAATACAAGCTACATTCGCAATAACCATATCCTTCAGTCAATAAAACATGACTCCTGCAGTTAAAGAAGAATAATGGGTAGTGCAACTATAAAAAGACTGCCCTAATATCAAATATGTCCAATAATTCTCCACTGACATTCATAAAAGATACACCAACAATGTTCAAACTCATTAGATGATTGCAGCATGTTATAGTCATTATATTTTAGGCTTCTGAGTCCATCTTTCCTCTTGGATAAACAAAAGAATGATGAAAACTCAACATACTTGCAAGAACATAAAACTCCAAATATCCCCAGTGATCAAAAGAAAGCCAAATTCTAACTTAAACAATAAGCATGCAATACCACTGCATACAACCATAACCTACTAGGCAATAACAAAACAATAGAAATCAAATGTCTGGTAGAAAAGACAAAAGGTGAGACCCTGGATCATAGGACTTATCTAAAATGAATGATAATGAATTTGTTTGACTGATTTTTACTTTTTTCTTTGGATTAGCATCCAATTTGTGTAATCAACCACTTGAGTTCATTACAATATATATAGGGCTAACAAGGGAAATGAAGGACATACATAGAATATTTACATGAGTAATAAGGTTAATCTCAAAATAGAAAACTATTCAAATCAAGAAATTAATCAAATCGGTATCATTGGGTCAAGTGGAGGTAATATGTTAAAAGGAAAGAAGACGTTAGCATATTTCAAACCAAGAAATGAATCAAATGATGCGGAATCATCTTGCATGGAAGCTTTTCAAGGTAATCCATGCAGGTTTTTACTTTTCTAAGAATTTAAATTTATCCATACTTGAATTTCATTTGATGTGGCTCCAACATGGAAATACTCCTAGATAGATACTGTGCCTATACAAAGAAAAACTTAATTAAAACATGTTACTAAAAAGTAATTAGAAAGCATAGTTCAATACAAGGACACTAGAAATATTTTGACAACAGAGAGACCAGGTCCAATTTTCCAAAGCAAGAGACTAATCCATATAGGGGTTTCAAGTAACCAATATTTAACCATCAGACTTAGTGTAAAAAGTTGGCCATCCAATAGGTGAAAGACAAACATTTAAGTAAATAAGGACTTCCCAATAGATTAATATTTTCATGGTGTTTTTACTGTGAGAAGATTATCAAAGGTTGTTCTTCACATGAAACAAGGATCACCAACCCATTATGAGAAATCCCAAAGGTCATTTAAAGAAAGGCCTGACTTCAAAACTTATTCAAACCTACACCCATAGATATGGCATACAAAGAAAGTTTAAGCTTCATCTGTTCATTGTTTAAGAATGCTTTAAGCAAGAGAGTATGAGGTTTCTCTATCATGGTTTAGAATATGACAGAGATATGAAATGAGTACTGAACTGCTACCAAACTGCAGATTACAAGATATCATATAGACTGTAAGCAAACCTTGTGACTTCTTAGAAAATTCTGATGAGCTTGAATCATAAATTTGAGGAAATAACGCAACCTTTTGTGCAATATTAATATCCCAAATCTCGACCTGCACGAATCATAAATGCCTAACCATATGTGGCAATGATATGCATGCACCAACTATAAACAGCTTAAAATAGGAGTCCCACCTGAGAGGGATGCTCCCCTGCTAGGGCCATCAATGTTGGACCCTGGTCACTAATGACTTCAGTATCTGTACCATTCAAGAGGAACATTACATCATGAAAGTTTTAATAAATGAATTGTCTTAAAATATTTTCAAAGGAAAGAGAGGAAAAATATGGCATTACGATAAAGAAAAACGTCCACTGCAAAATAAACAAGTGATACTCTCTAGATAGGTGAGTATAAATACAAAGCTATTGTGTAGTGTTGATCTAGAAGGTGTCCGCAAATGCCACAAGGGAGATGAAGAGGTTGTGCAGAGAAGTGCATATTTTTTTATCATAAGACAAGCCTTACTGGATGTGAGCAGTCATAATTTTCTCTAGTCAAACAAAGGTAGGGGTCCACTAGGTCCCAGAATTTCAACCCAAAAGAAAAATGTTTCAAGGGAGCCAATATAAAGCACTCTTGAAGAAAAAAGAAAGTCATTGTAGCTCACATTGATATTGGGCCCATAGAACACCCGTTTGAACTTGCAAAATATTCAAACCTGAAATGCATGAGAAGTTTTCTGTTCCTTCTTGAGCTTTTCCATTGCTAATGCCATCGTGATATTCCTTACACAATGATGTCTTCTCTTTTGGTTCACAGTTCTTGTCATAGTCTCCCGGTTCATTCAATTGATCAATTGCTCCAGAAGATAAATTCTTCCCCAATTGTGGAGAACAAGTGGGCGTCTTCGCTAATGAAAGCTTGCAAAAATGGTAAGAATTTGTCTTCAAAGTAACCAAGGGAATCCTAGCCAACATAGACAAATCAAATGAAATACAATCACGAATCCACTGTAAGAAAGAAAATGTTTTCATTGTAATAAAATGCACATGCAATCACGCATAATCCACCATGCACAAATGCAAATTGAAAGAATCACAAGATTAGAAACCCCAAAAAGATATCAACATGAAATAGCATACCTTGATAAGCCTCCATCACTGATATCCCAACATTTTACTGTCCCATCTCTACCTTGACTGTGTCCAAGCATGAAAGCATAAGCAATAAACCCGAACTACCAAGCTTGCAATATTTTAAAAACCAAAAAACGCTGAAAAAGACAAACGCATATAAGAAAACAAATAGAGACAACTCCTAAAGCGATGCTACGATTCGAAGCAAGGCGCAGAAACAGAATTCCATGGACAGTTTCTTATACTAACACTGAACGAAGAACAAATCCTCGGGGTCATAACCTAATTCCGTGGAACCATTTGTCTCAACATCTAGATTGTAATTCACAGTCCATGGTTACCACACACACCCAGAGAGAGAGAGAGAGAAAGAACCTGAGGATTTTGTCTCCAAGTGAAGCATTGGTGGCAACAGTAATGATTCCAGCCGCTCCAATGTGTGCCCTAAATTCTCGCACACAGAGCATCAAAATCAGAAGGGAAAAACACAACAAATCCACCCAAATAGAGCCCAAATCAATAGAGAAACATACCTCGAAGAAGAAAGCGTCCTATGCTGAATTGTGTCCCACAACCTCAGCTCACCGTCTCCAGTACTGTATTATTCAATCACGGCCCATATAATCGATCAATTCAAATCAGCAAAAGCATAAAGAAACAATACCCCATAGACAAAATCAACCTTCAGAACACAAAACAGATGAAATAGTAAAAAAAATGGCCATGGAAGTGGGGAATTGACGTACCCAGCAAAGAGAATGGGTTTAAAGGGATGGAAACAAACGTCAGTAACTGAAGCGCGATGGCCCCTCAGAACTGCAATAGGATCAGGAGGGGGACGCTTTGCACTCATTCTGTCTAAAACCCTAAACCCAAAACATTCAAAGGTAAAGGGCTTACGGATATTTGAATCGTCGAAGGAGGCAATCAAGCTTTATGATTCATGGGGAAAAGGTTTCATGGTGAAATTCGGTTTACTAGAAAAAGGAGTTTCTATACTAGCTTCTGGGTTTTGAATAGTTTGTTTGCACTTCCCTACTGTTCAGATTGTTAGGTTTCTTGTTTCACGGCTCAAAATCCATCCATATCAAAGAGAGAGCGATATTCTTCTCATTCCTGAGTTCAAAGAAATGCCAAAAAAGGAGCCTCATATTCATGGTTTGCGACCTGCGAGTTGTGTGCTATATAGCATGTGAAGTAAACAATGGCTCCATGTACTCAAATATTAATGATTTTGATATTTATGCTGCCAGTTGCACTTTTTAGATATTTAAAATAGAGAAAGCTTTCTATATGTCATTAGGTATAGGAAATTTATAAATGCCACCCCCTCTATATGTCATTAGGTATAGGAAATTTATAAATGTCACCCCCTATCCTAGTTGTTTGATTTGAATAGGCGGTTAAGATGAACTTAAGAACAATGTCATGCCAAAACAACATTTTATTTTTATTTTTTTATACGAATCGTATTGATAACAAATTTGAGGCATCAATCCTTTTATAGCCTCCGAAAATTTTTAAAAATGTATTTTTTAAAAATAAAATAAACAAAATACTCTTCAAAGTTTTAGAGCATTTGGGTTATTTTATTTTTATGAAAATATTTTAATAGTATTTGTTTCACAATTTCAACGAGCCCTAAACCAGAAGCTTCTAAAATAAATAATTCAAAAAAAAAACTTATTTCAACAGGCCCTTAACCATTTATTTTGCTCTCTCTAACTTTCTCCTTCTCCTCTCTCTCTCTACCCTATACCAGTATAATGCCCATTTTTCTCTTTTCTTCTCGTCACACTTCTCTCTCTCATGAAAAAAAAAGAAGGGAAAGGTTTCTATGCTTCCCTACAGCATTGAAGTTCTATCCTCCCTCCCCCTACCATCCAGCCATCTAATTTTGATTAAGGGTGTCACTCACCTTTTGATCTTAGATCCGACGTCTCAAAGTATTTTATTTTTTGTTTTTTTATACAAATTGTATGAATATGAAATTTAGTACGTACTATCTTCTCATTGGGACGTACCTATAAAAATATTAAAAATAATTTTTCGATAAAATATAATAACCAAAATACCCCTTGAAACTTTTAGGGGTATTTTGATCATTTTATTTTATTGAAAATATTTTTATATATTTTTCACTAGTACGAGTTTAATAGAGGAATAGACGTCCAAAATGTAGTGTAAAAATAGTTTATAAAAAAAAAATTAAAAATAAAATAGTGTAGAGACGTGACATTGTGATTGAGACAATCTTAGCCCTCCATTCAGAATGGACAGTTGGATAAGAGGGATGATAAAACTTCTATGTTGTAGGAAAAGCGTAGAAAGCTTGCCCAAAAAAGAAAACCCGTATCTTCTCTCACTTCTTCCTTCTTCTTCTCTTCTTACCTCTTCTTCTTATTTTATCTTATTTGTTTCTTTTCTTTTTTTGAACACTAATAAATGACTTCACAGAAACACTGACATAATTCAACATTTAAAGTATTCAAGATGTCCCCTATCTCATGAAAAATTGTGGACAATCTCCAAGGTATTCTTACCTCCCCTCTACTCCATGCAATAATATTTGGTGAATCTCTTTCTACGATCTTTACACCTTCAAATTTTGATAACAGTTTGACACCCTCCGAAAGACCGCTAGCTTCTGTTTCATTAACAGTCGAACTACCACATGGACTGAAATAAAAAAGAAAAATGATGGCATAGTGGTCACTAATCAATCCTCCAAAGCTCCGCAGCTCCCTAATTCCCAAAAGAACTCTTATCAAAATTAATAATTTACATGAGTTCAGTGTTGGAGGGTTCCAAGCAGCACTTCGAAATGATCTATAACTACAAAGATTAGCCACCTCACATGGATTCATGAGTTTTTAGGGATGCCTTTCTAATCCTTATGTGTGGAAAACTAATATGCTACCATAGCCAAGATATTGGACTTTAACATTCCAACATTCCATATGACTCCCTCGAAAACTCTTCTATTTCACTCCTTTCCATATTCCCCAGAGCACACTCACCTAAACTGATCTCCAAAGAACATTGCCCATCTTCGAAATTCTCAGTGTTATTCACTATTCTAGAAGAAACTTAGCATCTCCCACAATTGGCAAAGAAAGTTTAAATAGTTGGCAAGCCCAGCTCATAGATCCAATGCCAAAAGGGCATTGCAAGAATAGATGATGCACACTTTGATTATCGGTTTTATAGAAAATGCAAACGGCTTTACTGAGAATGCAAAACATTGACTACGTTGAAGCCCTTCTTCCTTAAATTATCAATGGTAACCAATCTCCCTCCCTTGACATAGAATACACAAGAACAATTGGATTTTTGTAGGAGCATGAATCTTTCGTATCTTGTGTAGCCAGGGATGTAGCGCTCTCCAATGTTGGTCGAACAGTAGGTTGTATGTTGATTTGACTGAGAGCTCCCCCGAGTGGGTAAGATCCCATATGGTGGCATCCTCCTTGTGAGGTGAGATGTAAACATTATGAAACGTCTCCAGCAAATTTTGATAATCATCTACAAATCGATCAGAAACCCTCATGCGCCTATAATGAAAAGACCAAACAAAGTTATTAAAATCACCCCCACTGGCCTCTTTGACAGAAGCTAGGGGGTTGTTGACTTTGGTAAGTACCCCAGGGAATTAAAATCTCAGTACCCCATAGCCCAACGACTTGTCGAACCAAAACAGTATTTGTACTCCATTTACAGCAACCTTCCTGGCATGACTCAAGTAGGTGGGCCTACAATGATCAATACCTCTCCAAATAAAAGAAAGGTTGGACTTGTTCCTTGGACTTTAGAACAACCCAGTAAATATGTCCACCCCATATTTGTCTCTTAATACCTCAACCCAGAAAGCATGTTGTTGTGTTTGTACTCTCCACCACCACTTTGTCAGTAGCCCCGAGTTCATGATATTCAGCCTTCTAACCTAGACCTCCTTCCTTTATAGGTGCGTAGACTCTCTCCCAATTCATAAGATGCAGTTTCTTATTCTTATCAACATCCCTCATAAGAAGTCTCTCATCAGTCCCTCGAGTCTCTTGACAAGTTATAAAGGCATACGGAATAAGGGCATATTATAAATTGGTAGATTGGATAAGGTGGACTTGATTAAAGTATATCTCCCTCCCCTAAAAAGTGTTTTAGCTTTCCACAAGTAACACTTTTTCTGAAATCTTTCTACAATTGGGTTCCAAATTGTTCTTCGAGCCTTAGAATCGGCTAAAGGAATGCCCAAGAACTTACAAGAAACCACAACCCAACAAATCCACCAGCCTTTCAACAAGATAGTCTTGACATCCAATCCAAATCAATTTTCTCTTGCTGAAGTTGACTTTTAAACATGTTGCCAATTCGATATATTTCAAAAAAAAATCCATATATTAGTAACTTCCTTCTCACACGGATCACATAAGATAATAGTATGATCTGCATATTGCATATGAGAAACCAGTAGGGCCTTACTTCCAATCTTCACTCCTAAAATATATCCTTTAGATATTAATCCCTTAGGCATCATACTGAAATATTCATGTAATCAAAGTATACAAAAAAGGCAAGAAGGGGTCGCCTTGTCTAAGCCCTCTAGACGCCTTAAAGAACCCAGTAGCTTTCCCATTAACCACCATTGAGAAATGAGTAGATATCAAGCATCCTTGATTCCACAATCTACATTTTGATCTAAAACCTATGCCTCCCATAATGCTCTATAAAACCTGTTGATCAACTTTGTCGTATATCTTTTCAAAATCGAGCTTACAGATTAAACTAGGCTTCTTCTTTTCTTTGACTATTGAATGAATGCATGCTTGGGCCACCAAAATATTATTTATAATCTGTGTATCTCTCAAGAATGTCGATTGAGGCCCTTGAATTTCTATATGTAATACATGTTGTAATCTGTTTGCTAAAACTTTGACTATTAATTTGTATAAGCTGCCCAGCGAACTTATTGGACAAATATCTTTAACCTCTTAAATCACTACTTTATTTGGTATCAATGCAATAAAGGTGGAACTCATTGTTGTGTTGATCCTGCCCTTCTAGCAAAACTCCTCCATAAGTTGAAATAAATCATCGTTCAATAGCTCTCACCAAGTTTGAAAAAGACCAACAAGAGTCCATATGGTCTTGAGGCTTTGTCCTTGCCCAGTCCAAATACTACTTCTTTAATCTCCTGCAAATCAAATTCTCTCAAACCATAAAACCATATCAGAAAGAATTTTTAAAAAGGAACATTGCTGAGGGAAATATCCAAGTCTTTCTCAGCAATAAATGCCTGTGTGAAGTACTCAATTAAGGCATCTTCCAATTCCACCATGTTATCACAGGCCACTCCTTGAATTTTAAGGTTTTGAATCGAATTCTCTCTCCTCCTTGCATAGCAATGGCATGAAAGAACTTTGTATTTCTATCACATTCCTTTAGCCATCTAACTCTTGATTTCTGTCTCCCATGGATTTTTTTCAGTCTCAAGAGATATCTTAGGGAGGCAATACAACTAGTTCTTTCTATATATGGAGATTATCCCGAGAATTTCTTTTCTAGGAAATGATTTTTTCTTATAGTAACTTAAGAATTCTGGAAATTTGAAATCCTTTGCACCCTTTAATGTGAGTATTTTTCCAAAAAACCTCTACTAATTCTAACAATGATCTATTAGACAACCAAGTAAGTTCAAATCTGAAAGGCGAAACCCCATATGAAAAAACCAAATATATGGAAAAGTAAACGAACACGGCCCGAAGCCACTTTGAGAAGAGATTTGACACTGATTTTTGGAAATCATTTATCAAATTCAGAGCTAACAAGAAATCTATCCAGTCTAGTTAACACTAAATCAGCAGTGCCATGGTTAGACCAAATGTATTAGCCCCACTGGAAGGAAGGTCCACCAATTCGTGCTTTGGAATAAAATTTTCAAAACACCGCATACAAGTTGACATAAGTGGAGAGGAAGATGATTCATTAAGCCATCTAATAATACTAAATCACTAGCAACACAGCAAGGCATATTAAATTGATAAGAAATAGCATAAAGTTCATCAAAAAAATAATAGCCTTTCATCAGGTCTATTAAGTCCCTATATAACCCTTAGACACCAAATGAAATCATCCATAGGGCCTTTAAACAATACATAAGCATGTCTAATAGAAATAAAAAAATCGGCCGCATGCAAAACAGTCAGA